AAATATACCCTGCGGTGCCATTCACATTTCGGTATCCTCATAGCAGTGTTGGCTCTTGAAGAATCAACCCGAAGCCCTCAAGTTTCTCTCTCTCAGATTCTTCTGATGAGCAGGACCACCAGGACCTGGAGACTCCCCAGTCATGGCCTCCTTCTGCGCTCTGAGCCCTGCAGCCACTGCTTGTGTTAGATTAGATTAGAACAGGTTGGAGAGATTCAAACCATTTTTCAAAACCAGCTGGAGATCGGTGCGGGAGCCCATGCGGCTGGTGGCTCTGGGGGAGCTCAGGGCCAGTCAGCATCTCAGGGCGCGGGCTCTCGGGAGAAGCAGTGAGCTCCGGCTCTCGGATGCACCTCTTTCCCTAGAGGAACACACTTCTGATGGCTGGGTTTTATCTGGCATGAAAAGGAAGAGTTTTTCCCTGAAGGAGAAGGTAGCCAGCAGACTGCCAACTGCAAGACAGCAAAATAACAAAACCTCCCTCCCACTCCCTTCACCTCACATGACATTTGTCCAATTTTATGGCCAGTGGTTGGGGCTGTCTTTTATTTTCCATTAAATGAAAAATGAGAATTGTTCCAAGTGATGAATTATCTGGGCAGTCCTGCCAGAAATGAAGCATGCTCAGGTTAAGTAAAATAGAATATGCGGACGTCCTTGCGCAGGGATTCTTAGCAAGCGCGTCCTCTTTCTTCCTGGTCTGGTTTTCCCAGGGGAGCAGGAAAACGCCTGCTGGACGCAGAGAGGGCATGGAGGGTGGCCCGGGCCCCGAGGTGGTGGGAGCCTCGCTGGGATTTTGGGTTCCTTGTGGAAAGCTGGGAACTGAACCCATTTCAACTTTTCCAGGCCTGGCCCAACCCTTGCCCAAATCCTGCCGCTTAGTCACCCTCAGGAGCAAACCTCCACTGTGCCACAAGCCCAGGGATGCACAGAGAGACACAGGTGCTGGGGGAGACCAGCACAGGCATGAAAAATAGGAACCATGCAATGGGAAGAGGAGAAGATGGGGTCCTCAGGAGTCCCGGGGCTCCAGGAGGCACTTGGAAAGCCCCTCTCAGGGGTCCCCGCATCTCCCTTCACGATGATGAAGCCGTCTCAGACATGCAATCCGGAGACAGTTGTCTAAGGCCGTGCAACCTGTGGCAAGGAGCTGCTGGGGATGGCGCCTCCGCTCGGCCCAATGACAGAAGAGACAGAGCCCATGGCCTAATTCTTGTCCTCGATCCCACGTAGGGAAGAACCTCAGGAGGTCTCAAGCAGGTGGATCCGTATAGGTCAAAAGCCACGGCAAGGGGAGGCAGAGACGCCAAGTGGGCCTGGGAGCTCTTGGTGCATCTCAATTCCCTTTGTCTTCAGGATGTGACCTGGATGTCACGTCATCCGAGAGCCTTTCCTGAAGGGCTGAGCTAACGTGGCAACCCTCTGGTCGCCTCTTCCCACCCTCGGTTTTACATTCCTTCCTAACCTGCATCACTGTTGGAGGATGAGTTCCAGGTTTTCCTCACTGCTCTCTCCTCCCTCCCTGCCTGGAACGCAGGATGGGGTTTTGTTCCCTCGCGTACTTTGTGCCTGGCACGTGGCCCGGCTGTGGTTGGTGCTCAATAGGTAACTACTGAATGCACGGAGGGAGGAAGGGTGGGCTCTGAAGCTTGCCTCTCCCCAGGAACGACTCCCGCTTATTCTCAATCTCTGACTATCAGGGACACCAGGGAGCCCCACCCTTATGATGGGACAGAAAACAGGGTCGGCCACGCCCCGGACCCCAGGTCACTGCCTCCAGCAACCTCTTCTGCTTTTTATTTCTATTTTAAAAACCTAAAGCGGTGTTCTTGAGGTCTGAGTACATCCAGCAGGTTCGACATGAGTATGTGTCGATTCCACGAAGATTTGGTGGAAGATTCCACGAGTGTGTCTCCATTCCTTGGAGGTCCAGAATGTTCTCAGCCTCCAGACGTGCTGTTCTGCCGCTTCCTCTGCAGCCCGCTGCCCGTCAGATCTCCACCCCTTGCGGTGAGTTTTGGAGGCTCTAGGACTTCACAGTCTTGAGATCCTATGGCTTGTCATCTTCTGGTGTCCGGCTTCTCGCTCAACATAATGTTTTCTGAGATTCATCTACATTGTGTGTATCGCTAATCTGTATTCTGTTCTTTGTTTTGTTTTTTTTTTTTTTTCTTGGAGATGGAGTCTCGCTTTTGTCGCCCAGGCTGGAGTGCAGTGGCGTGATCTCCGCTCACTGCAACCTCCGCCTCCCGGGTTCAAGTGATTTTCCTGCCTCAGTCTCCCAAGTAGCTGGGATTACAGGTGCCCGCCACCATGCCCAGCTAATTTTTGTGTTTTTAGTAAAGACGGGGTTTCACCATGTTGGTCAGGCTGGTCTTGCACTCCTGACCTCAGGTGATCCGCCCGCCTTGGCCTCCCAAAGTGTTGGGATTACAGGCGTGAGCCACTGCACCTGGCCTAATCTGTTCTTTTTTGTTGCTGAGTAGAATCCCTTGTGTAAATACACCGCAGTTTTATTTTTCATTTGGATAAACAATGTTATATGGACATTTGGATTGCTTCCAATTTGCGGTTCCTACGAACAAGGCTGTTGTGAGCATTCACGGACGTGTCCTTGCAGGGATGCATGTGCTCATTTCTCACGGGAAAATGCCTTGGAGTGGAGTAGTTGGTTCACAGCTGTGCGAGTGCCCGGGGGCTGCCATAGCAAAGTCCCACCCACTGGGTGCTTTTAGCTACAGCAGTGTGTGGGTCATGGTGCTGGAGGCCTGAGGGCCACAGTCACAGTATCGACGGGGCTGTGCCTTCTGAGGCTGAGAGGCAGCCGTGGCTCCAGGCCTCTCTCCAGCCTCTGGGTTTTGCCGGCAGCCTTGGTGTTCCTGGGCTTGTAGAAGCACCACCTTGAGCTGCTCCTGCACCTTCACATGCCCTTCTCCCGGTTTACCTGTGTCCAAATGTCCCCGTTTTAGGAGGATTCCAGCCTGCCATGCTCCAGCATGACCTTATCTTAACTAGTCTGGCAGTGACCCTATTTCCAAATCAGATCATGTCCTGAGGGGCAGGAGGTTAGGACTTCAACACATGAGTTTTGGTGGGACACAATTCGATTCTCAACACTGTGTAGGTGGATTTGACCTTGATGGAACTCTGACAGCTGGAGCTATGAATGGCCTTTCTCAGTTTTGAGGCTCCCCATGTCTGAGCGTGCCAGCCTTTCCTCCTCCTGTTGCCATCTGTGGATCTGTGGAGTTCCTGACCACCTCCCACAGGCCCCAGGAACTTTGGAGCCTGACTCACTAAATTTTCCACCCAAGTCCAGATGCCACTGCAGATGACTTTGAAGCCCAAGAGGGCGGCACATACATCATCCTAGCCCCAGGCCCCTCAGCTCTCTTCAAATATGAACTCATCATTACCCAAGCAAACATCCTTGTGGTCGTGGCCAGATCTTGGCGTTCCCCAGGGCTTTCCATCTCTCGAATCTTCATCTCCACTGTCTGCTCCGCAGCTTCCCAACCCTCCCAACCCTCCCCTCTGAAACTGTCTCCATCACTTGATAAACAGGTCAACTCCCGCACGCCCCAGACTTTGACTGGCTCCCCCAACCGGCAAATCCAGGAACCGGCTGGAGCCAAGGGCTCAAGAGACGCTGTCAGTCATTTCTATCTTTCCTAGTTTCTATCTTTCCTTTTCTCTCTGTCTTCCTCCCTTCTCTCCATCTCAATTTGGATTGGCTTTTGTGTCAGTCCATTCTGGCATCGTATAAAGAAATTCCCGAGACTGGATAATTTATGAAGAAAAGAGGTTTAATTGGCTCACAATTCTGCAGACTGTACAGGAAGCATGATATGGGTATCTGCTTCTGGTGAGGGCCCAGGAAGCTTCCAATCATGGCAGAAGGTAGAAGGGAGCAGGTGCATCACATGGCAAGAGCCGGAGCCAGAGGGAAGGGGGAGGCACCACACTCTTTTAAACAACCAGATCTTGCAGGAAGAGACTGAGGGAGAGCTCACTCATCACCAAGGGGATGGCGCTAAACCATTCATGAGAGATCCACGCCCAGGAGCCAGTCACCTCCCTCCAGGCTCCACCTCCCACACTGGGGATCACATTTGAACATGAGATTTGCAGAGAAAAAACATCCAAACCGTATCAGCTTTGTTCTTAAACAGGTGTCTCCACCTGGCTGTCATGGTGAGTACTGGAAGTTTCAAGGCCAGATACTTGTGGCTTATGGTCTAGAAGGAAAAAGTTCTCCTTGCAGAATCCAAATATTAAATCTCGTTGAAGGACTGTGGTGGACTGTGCTCGATGGACACACATCGGACTCCCCACAAGGGGATGGTGTGGCACGAGCAGCCCACCTGAGGCTGGTGGGGGACTGAGCCCCACAACTGCAGGGCCCTGCACAGTGAGGCTGTCCAGACTCTGCCATTTTGACCCAGTGGACATTTTCACCCTGAGAGTTCTTGACTCCAAGTTCATAACCCACCATATTAATCAGAATTAAACCAACTGTTGACATTTGTCAAGGAAGCTTTTTCTGAAACAAATTCCGTGAACCCAGTTTAGTTCTTGGGTCAATTTTCTACACAGAGCAGTTAACCAAATTGTTTCCATGTTTATTTTTCAGTGATACTTGACTCATCCATTTTTTTTTGTGGGCTTTTTGTTGTTCTTTCCTTACCCGAGTCTAATTTCAAAAAGTGAATTTTCTGCTTTAATGAGTTTTCTTTTTGTGGCCATTACTTCTACAAAGTCAAATTTCTCAAATAATTTGCACAGCTCTAAATTAAAAAAAATTCTTCTTCTTCTGTCAATATGAATTTTAAATTTAACATCTGTATTTTTACATACTGTCAGTTACATTTTCCGCTGATAATTTCTAATTTCCCCAGTTCAATTTTTATAGTTTTCAATGTTAATAATGACTGACTGTTCATTCAATTTTTTATCTGTAACAACTTTTGCTGTATGCTTCGGTTTTACAGGTTTTTAAATCTATAACAACTTTTGCTGTATGCTTCAGTTTTGTAGTTTTTTAAATCTGTAACAATTTTTGCTTCAGTTTTTGTTGGCTTTATTTTGTGTTATGTCTGCTATAATATTAATTTTGCATTGAAAAAAATGTGTTTGTATTTCTTAGGTAATCCTGAGCCATTACTCTTGATAACTGCTCTTGTTCACAGCTGGTCCACTTTATGGCTCATCAGGTTGTTTCATAAGCTTATAACAGCTCTACGAACTCCCAGTAACCATCTGCTCTGTGGCAAATGGGCAGAGTATCTGTCACGGAGTCGAAACATCTCCAGGTAAATATGGCAAGGTTAAAGGAACTTCTTGGATTCACCCAGATCCACATCCAGCAGATAGGTCAGTGGCCATTCCCTAGGAGAAGCTGCGTACTGCTCCTACAAGAAGGGCAAAGGAAAATCATGCTTGGACCCAAGGAGGCTTTGCAAGGTCTTGCCTATCTACTTCTTAAGATCTCTCCTTCCCCCAGTCTTTATCCTGCCTGCTGCCCATAGCACGCCTCCATATCCCATGTCTCACTGTGGGATATGAACCTCAGTTAGCCCCCTCCCCAGGGTACTTATGCAGGGGCTTGGCAAATTACCAATGGAGGGCCAGCCCAACACTCCCTTCTCTGCTAGTACCCAACACCCACCTCTCCTCCCAAATCCAAAACTCTTCTTTCTTCCCATACCTAGCACTCCCTCCCCACCTGTATTAGTCCATTCTCCCACTGCTGTTAAGGAATACTTGAGACTGGGTAATTTATAAAGAAAGAGGTTTAACTGGCTCCGGGTTCTGCAGGCTGCACAGGAAGCATGGCGGCACGTGCTCGGCTTCAATCATGGTGGAAGGTGAAGGGGAAGCGGCACTTCACATGGCCGGAGGGGGGAAGGGAGAGACGGGGAGGTACCACACACTTTTAAACAGCCAGATCTTGTGAGGACTCACTCACTGTCATGAGAACAGCACCCAGGGGGAACTCCACCCCCATGATCCAATCACCTCCCACCAGGCCCCACCTCCAACACTGGGGATTACAATTCTACAGGAGATTTTGGGGGGGACACAGATCCAAACCGTATCACCAGCCACACCCAACGCTCCCTTCTCTGCTAGTACCCCATTCTTCCCTTTTTAACTCACGCTTTGGACTGCCGCCCACTGCCGAGAAAATGCAAAGGCAATTGGCTGGGCCCCCAGGAAGCAGGGACGGCAATCCCGGCTGCAGCCCTGGGCTGCACAGGACGCCCTGTCTGCGCCTGTGGGTTCTCCACAGTGACTCCCTTTCCCTCCCTGCACACCCCACCTGCCCCTCACTCTCGGCTGATGTCCTGGCTACCTGCTTCTCTGCCTCTGGGTCCTCCACAGTGACTCAGTTTCCCTCTCTGTGCACCCTACCTGCCCCTCACTCTCGGCTGATACCCTGGCTCCCTGCTTCTCCAAGCAGACAGGAATCGTCCCCCAAATCCCTTCTTGCCTTCCTGCAACCCCCGACAGACTTACTTGCATCCACACTGTATCATCTCCCCTGGTGCCCCGATGCCCTCGGTCTGGTTTATTAAGAACCCTTCTCCAGTGATGATCCCTTCCTGTCTGTTGTCTTCAGTGTTCTCTGTGCAAGGGGCACAGCACCCCTCAGGCGCCCTTGAGTCCTGTTATCCAGGGACACCTCAGGCTCTCTCTCCAAAGCCCTGAGGTTCGTTGTCCCGGCTCCTCCCTGTGCCACGCGACAGCTGTCCTGTTGCACTCTCCTGGGCCTGCCACCTGCACGGATCCTTGTCTTCCTGAACCGCCCCTTCCCTACCAGCGTGGTGGCTTTTCTGCCTCTGCTCTCAGCCCTCTTCTTTCCAGGCAGAGCCCCCCTTTCCCATTGCCAGCTTAGACCCCAGCTTTTCTCCTGAGGTAGGGCCCTTGCTCGCCCAGGAAGGAGCTCAGTTCCAGATTCTTCTCTTTGTCCTGGAGTCCTGTGGTCTTACCTTCGGTCTGACCTCCTCTTGCCTGGGGCTGACTCTCGCATTAGGCTGAAGGTTCATGAGAGGTGAAATGGAGCGGTGTGGGATGTTTCTTGACCTTGGGGAAGTTGAGGAGGCAGAAAGGGATGGATCCATCTGTTCCAACTGGCTGGGAAATCTGCTGTTTGAATATGACCTGGTATATTCCAGACACAGAGGCATCAGATGGCCAGAGCTTCAGGACTACTCCACAGACACTCCTGTGCTGGCGGATGGCAGAAAGCCGGGGCTGGGCAGATCCGTGCTGCCTGCTTGGACCCAGTGTCCACTCCTCTGGAGAAGCGCTTGGGCTTCAGTGTCAAGGGCACAGATCCACACAGCAGCCTTGCAGCTCACCAGCTCTGAGACCAGGCACCATGCCCTTTCCCTCTGCACGGGGTGATAACAGCCTGACCTGTGACAGCTGGGTGATCTGGTGCTAAGGACTGTTTCACATAGAAGCTGTCAGGCTCCCTCCCAGTGCGTTACAGTGGAATCCCTATGTTTCCTGGGCCCCTGTGTGTTTTCTTCCTCCTGAGCACAGCATGCTATTGTGCGTGTCTGTGCTGTCAGAGTCACCGCCTGAAGTTAACGATGGTGGTCACAAAGTGTCACAACTGTCCTTGACTTCCCTTGCCCTCAGCCGAAGCAGCTCTGGCCCCAGCGGTGCCCTGGCCTTGGCTGGGATGACCCCTGTCTTGCCTTACCTCCAATCTGTGCCTGGGAGCTCTCTGCCCCGCCCTTGCCCCCACGTGGCCTTTCTAAGGTGACACCATCAGACCTCTGCTTCCTCCTCCTCTCCTCTTTCTTGGAATTACAGCAGAATCCACCCTTCTGTCTCTGGAAGCCCTGCCTGACACTGAGGCTGTTTGTTTGGATGACCTCCCAGCATCCATCTCTGATCTCGGCCACCCACTCCTGGTTCCCTGGGAGGTGGGTTTGATTTTCCCTCTTCTGTCATGGCCAGGATCAAATGCCCACTGGGTGCTCAGTGCTGGCGGCAGAGAGCTGAAGCAGCGAGTTCCCACTCTCCAGGCACAAGTGATCTAGAAAACAAGGATGTGGGTCATTTCAACACAGGGACGGACTTCCAAAGGTGCAGTCATGAAACTGGACTGGAAATGCCACGGGGGGCTTCCCAGCAGAAGTGATGCCCCCGCTGAATTCAGAGAAGGGGCAACGTGTGCCAAATCGAACTATGGGGAGAAGGGGCTGGGGCCACAGGAACGGAGGTACCAGCAAAGGCCTAAACACTTGGAGCACGGATACGCACAGATCAGGGCAAGCTGGACAGGCACCTGCGTGGGGATGAAAGGAGGGGAAGGGCACTAACCCTAACCTTGGGCCAGGAGCGCCAGGCAGCCCAGCTTTGGACGTGGCTCCTCTCCAGAAAAAATCATCAGATACCAGATAAGGCAGGGGACGTGTGTGGGTGGCTGCATGGGTGACCTCACACAGACAGTTTGACGCTGCTGCTGATCAGATCATGTTCCTGCTGCTACTTTCTGGAGTGGAACTCGAGGGAGAAGTTCTTTAAACAACCTGTTTCTGAGGTTCAAAAAGAGACTCTGACACTCGGTCACTGTCCCTAGCCAGAGCCTCTCCTCCTTTCCCTGCAGGTTCCTGGAAGACGGCCCCCTCTCCTCCAAGCACATCTGTCTCTTGGACTCTGAATTCCACCCCTTCGCCCCTGCAGGCCCTGGGCACCCCTGCCTGGCACAGCTGAAGGTCCACGCCCTCCCTGGGGACTCCCACCAGGCCCGGGCAGTGGCTTCATCAGTCAACACGGAAGGGGCTCCAGGGTGAATTGTCCTTGTTTGCAGATGAAGAAACAGAGCCTTGGTGTGGAAGGCCAGAGTCCAGCCGTAGAAGAAGCTGTGGCCCCCACTGCACTCCCCATCTTGAGACACACCTTCCTTACCCAATGCCGGGTGACCCAGGAACCCAAATATTCAAGACAGAGGCCCCATTTATGGCAGCCGGTGGCCCTGGGCAGGGGTGGACTGATGTCTGCTGGATACGGACTGTAGGGTGCGCTGGTTGCCAATTCTGGAATGTCCTGGAGAGCCGTGACTGGGAGGGGACACCATCGCCCACCCCGATGGACAATTGTTCCCGTATGGGAAAGTCACAGCCCCTCTCGGGCTGTGGTGAGAGGTCAAGGGCCCGAGGGATTTAGGGTTCAGGTCAGCGTGCCAGTGAAGGATCAGATGCGGCCCAGGCTAGTAGCCGGGGCTGGGATCCCGGGAGGGCAGGGACAGAACTTTGGGCAGGAACTTGCAGTTTCTCTTAAGAGGGACCTGGGCTGGTTGGCATCTAGTACAGTGGTCAGGGAAAGGAAACAACCCGCTCAAGGGTTTAGAACAGGAAATGCAATATAGTATCTATCGAGTGGTGAGAAAAATACCACAAAGGGGAAGAAAAGGACCAGGACAAGCCTACAAAGCTCTCTGGTCCCGAGTCCATCAGCTCAGCCACTTCGGGCACCAGCTGTGGTGACCAGCCACGGGGGCTCAGGTGTCCCTGGGATGACAGTGAGTCCCACGTGGCCTGGACCCCATGCTGGCAGTGTGGATAACAGACACCCTTGAGTGCCCTGACTCCACTTCTCACCAGCCAGATCTGGGGCTTGCTGTAAGACAGCTCTGGAGATCCAAGGCCCCCTTGGGCCTCTCCACTCCCCAGGACAGGGCAGACCCTTCTCATTATCTGGCCTCACCCACCTCTTTACCCAGCATACAAGCTTAAGCCAGTCACTAATCGCATCATATCCACATTAGTGAGTTGGCAGGGCTCCTGAACACAGGGCTTTAGTAGATTAGCTACCCTTGTTGGTCAGTGGCGCTGGTCACCGAGGGACCTTCGGAAACCAGGGAGAAGCCCTGGGAGTGCAGAGAGCCCAGGTGTGGTCCTGGCATCCGTGGGCACAGAGGCAGGCCCCAGGAAAGTTGCCTGGACTCCTGCGGAAAGTTCTGATGGTGCCGGTTCTCATGTCCCTGAAGCCGTCCCTGTTGGTGTCTTCAGTTCAGTGTGATAAGTTGTTTAATGTGACAAATGCAGGCCTTATCACCTACAAGGGATGTTGGGTGCAGCATCTCTGCCCATCATCTGTCACATCACTGCTAGGATATGCAATCTCTCTCTGTGGAGGTAGCCTGAGTTTTGCTGCTAATATTAATGCTGCATGACATGTGTGCATCTCCGTTTCATCAGGAAACACTTCCTCAGAGGCAGTCTCAGTGGTCTCCCAGGCCTCAGGCAAGACATGACTCATGCACTAGGTGCCTCGAGAATGCAAACATGCACGTGCCTCAGTTCCCCCATGAGAATGTAAACATGCACGCGTCCCAGTCCTCTCTCGAGAATGCAAACACGCACACGTCCCAGTCCTCCCTCGAGATGTAAACATAAATGCATCCCAGCTCCGCCTTGAGAATGTAAACGTAAATGCATCCCAGTTCCTCCTTGAGAATGTAAAATAAACATGCACGTGTGCCAGTCCTCCCTCTGTGTGCTCCCTGCGCCCTTTCTGGTTGTTATTGTGTGATCCACATCAGGGGTTGGCAGAGGATCACCTGGGGCTGAGTCTGGCTGACTTTTTAAAATAAAGTTTTATTGGCACACAGTCCTCCCACCATTTGTATGTTGTCTGCTGCTTTCCCACTGCCCTGGCATCAGTGAGGTGAGTTGTCCGACCGAGGCCGTGTTGCCCAGAAAGCCTAAACTGTTTCCTGTCTGCCTCTTCACAGAAAATAAATGTCTCCCATGATCCAGATCATGGTAAGGAAGAAGTCGTTTTGATTCGGGAGTGCAGCCCCCAAGTGGCATCCCTCTGGGGGAGTCGTCAACACTCAGCTCTTTGGATGTTGCCGGGGTGGGGGTTGTGTGTCTGTTTTGTAAGGAAAGGCAGAGTTCAGACAGCACAAAACCAACCATTAGCACACGAATGTATCACAGCGCAGGGTTTACCTCACACCATCCCAGAGCTGTTATTTTCCAGAGGGCCACGAGGCACTCCAGATTTTTGTGGATTCTATTGTCTTCCTGCTTTTATAGATGACAAAGCTGAGATTGAGAAAGGTGATGGAGTTTGCTCATGGTAGCTTCCAGTCTAAGACTTGATTTAAAGCCAGGACTGTTGGTCACAACCAGCACCTCCCGTGCCAGGAGGGAGGCCAGCTGCAGTGGACACGACAGTGCAGTGGACACACTTGTGTAGCGGACACATCTACACACGCCACGCACCTGATCTGACCTCTGACATGGCTCCTTGAAAGCCTTCTGCCTGCCAGGCTGAGCTGCAACCTGTGCCTGTGATTCTGCCTTCCACGAGCCCGCGTGTGCATGGATGACGGCATTGGGTCCACGTCACGGAGCCGCACACAGACTTGCGGGCTTCATGCACTTGTGGCTTCAGCTCCTGTGTGTGGAGATGTGTGCCTGATTGTGCTCTCATGCTGAATTTTAAATTAGTTAAAAAAATTTTTTATTATTATAACTGAAAGTGGAAAATAGACCTCTGGAATGGTATTAGCTAAACCTTGCACAGTAATAAATCTGTGTGCTAATGGATTGTTTTTGTGCTGTTTGGTTGTTATGGTGACAGCCTGCATTAACTAATACGTAAGTTTGTTTGGAGAATTTTAACACCAGTTTGCCAAATGTTCTGTTTCTGCTGCGATCTTAGGCCTTTGCAGTTCTCATTGGTGAGGATCAGCTTGGATTTCAGGGCCCTTCATGGTCTGAAAATGGCCAGAGCCCCCTCAACAAACCCTAACTGACACGTCTGAGAGAGGTGCCATGTGTAAACAACTGTAAGAGTAATGGCACTTCAGAGGCACTACAGGGGAAAAATAACCAGTGAGACTCTCTCGGCTTTTGTGGAACACGTTTTCACGCAGGAGCTGGGTTGTGATGGCCAGCAAGGAAGGCATCCATCTCTCCCCAGTGGCCAGACAAGGGCTCCCGTGGAGGGGGCATTGGTCCCAATGGGGAGCGAACCTAACTGGGCCTTCCCCAGTCACCATCAACTACTCAGACAGGGCCAGAAAGACAGAAGAACTGGTGAGACACTGGGGCAGGGTGGCAGGTGTCCAGGCCGGGCGGGTAGCCTCTTACCTGAGAGAGGCAGAGAACAGGGAGGTCAGACGAGAAGGCCTGTGCTCCAGGTGTGGCCTAGGAGTCTCCAAATGGAGCACTGCCTCACAGTGAGGCAGCGTGGGGAAAAGAATGGGAAATGGGGGTGAATCAGAGGCCTGTGCATTCGTGCCTGGCTGCTTAAAATGCTCTGGGTCTCAGCATGCCCGCTTTAAAAATGGAGGAAGCATGTGGAAATGTGGAAAGCAAGTGAACGATTAATACTGAATTCCAGGAACGGCTGTGCCAGGAAGGAAGCCAATCTGGGAAGGGGCAGCAGGGAGAGGCGACTCTTTAAAAAGTTGGCCAAGGGCCAGTTGTGGTGGCTTATGCCTGTAATCCCAGCCCTTTGGGACACCGAGGCGGGCAGATCATAAGGTCAGGAATTCGAGACCAGCCTGGCCAATACGGTGAAACCCTGTCTCCACTAAAAACACAAAAATTAGCCAGGCGTGGTGGCGGGCACCTGTAATCCCAGCTACTTGGGAGGCTGAGGCAGGAGAATCTCTTGAACCTGGGAGGTGGAACTTGCAGTGAGCCAAGATCGCATCACTGCACTCCAGCCTGGCTACAGGGTGAGACTCAGTCTCAAAAAAAGGTGGCCAGGGAAAGCCTATGAGAAGGGGAGTTCAGGCCAAGCCTGAGTGGAGCGTGCAGGACCGTGGAGAGGGGCGGGGAGTGTGAGAGAGGCTGTGTTTAAAGGGCTCCCTCAGGGACAGAGGTTCTGAGAGGCACTCGGAAAGCAGGTGCCGTCAGTGCCTGGAAAGGATGCTCTGCGTGTGCTGGTGGCAGATCTGACGCCCTCCTCCTGGGAATGGCAGGGCTCCTCCAGCAGCTGAAGGTACCTGTCACCTGGGCCTGTGGGGATGATGTGTTGGCCTCAGCAGGGGCCCTGGGCAGCCCGGCCTTCCCTTGAGATGTGCCTGAGCGTGCAGCAGTGACGGCGGCCCTGGGCCCTGGACGGCCTGGAGACAATGTGGCAAGGCCAGGCCCACGCAGTTTTAAGAATTCAGAGCCCTTCACGTTCATTCAGAAAATTGTTGACAATTGTTTGCAACGTTCACTTAACATTTATCTGCCTCCATCTCCTTGACTGGAAAATGGGGAGCTCGTGTTTGGACAGTCAAGGATGGACATGGCAGGAGAATGGGTAGCCAGGGTGTGTAACGCAGACGCGCCAAAGACGTCTGAAGCCAAGGTTGACGTCCCTCTGGTAGAAGTGTGCCCGGGGGTCCATGGACATATGCTTTATTTTGGGAGTTCTTGGGAGTGCAAAAGGGGCTAAAACATGGCAATGCACTCAAAAGAACCATTGTAACATGTATTTTTGTGTGTCATTGATTTTGGAGTTTTGAGTGATGTGTGTGCGACTGCGTCTGTGTGTCTGAGACGGAATTTGCCCTGGTTTTCAGGGTCATTTCCAGAAATGACATTGGTGGATGTCTGTCATCACTCTAGACAAGGGCGCTGATGACAACAGGACAGAAACACGTGGCCATGCTGGAATACCTTTTCCTGTGAGCACCGCCAAGAACCAAGACGCAAAAGCAAAGGGTTCCCCAGGCACTAAACTCCCGCATGTGACTGGGAAGCTGGGCCCTGAAGACCCTCCCTGGAAGCCCACTCTTTCCGCTCCACACACAAAGTTAACACATCTGCTTACCTGCTCTCCTGAAGCAGGTCAGACACAGCTCAAAGGGAGGAGTAAGGCTTTTTACAGCAGCAACATTTGGAAGTTGCTGCTAGGATTAAAAAAAAAAAAAAGAGTACAAGGAAACAAAACACGGAAAATGCAAGGCCCCTGACTGTCCTCGAACGCGGGACACTTTAGGGTTGGGGCAGCTGCGGATTCCCGTGTGCGTGCCGTGATGGGACAGACCTGCAGCCATCATCCATGAAGGCGTGTCATACAGGAACTTGCTGTTGGTGTCCTCGTGAAAGGAGGTACAAAGGCACAACACAAAAGGCAAAGCGTTCACACTCACTCTGCTCTCCTGAGCTCCTCCTCTCTGGCCCCTTAATTTTATAGAAAGGCCAGGCTCAGCGCAGACCAAAGCTACGTTGCTCGTTGGTCAGCAGAGCCACATGCAACTCTGTCTAGCTCAGTATTTCTCTCTGTGGAAAAACGAGGCAGAGGAGCACCTGGAGTGTCCCAGGTGGGGCAGGAGGACGATTGTTCCCCTTGTGGGCAGTGCCCATGAACTCCCTCCCTAAGGCGGGCGTGTTCTAGTTGCAGGGTGGTGTAGGGATGAAAGCCAAGATTAGACCATTGTAACAGAAGAGTTTGAACTCCTGGAACCCACGGCAGCACGGGGCAGGGAGAAGGTGTCTCTGCTGTGACATGGAAATTCCTCTCTGCTTAAGGAGAATGTCCATTAATAGTTCACTTCTGACCAGATTATGGTATCACTGCCAGCAGATCTGAGAAAAGCCTCTGCATTTCCAAATTCTAAAGCCATTTCACTTTTTCCTAACATCAGAAATTCCTTGATTCCTGTTCAAAGCGGCGATGGATGCCAACTCCGCTTAGCTGAAGGCTCTGAGCAGACTCCTCTGGCCCTATTTACAACCTCACGGCCATTTCCCCTCGAGGTTCCTACCTGGACCCCCACAGAGGTAAGCCCTGCTCTCTGCTCAGAGGCCCTTGGACGAGCTCTAAGGGGGCCTCTTGGGCTCAGAGGGGAGCTGAGAGAAGCAGCCCCCGTCCTGGCCAAGCTGGAACTGTGCTTTCATTCCTTCTGAGCCCAGCTCAGCTCCTGGGACTTGGGGAGCTGAGGAAGCGCAGACTCACCCTCTACTGAGAAGCTCCTGTCTTTGTTGACAAGAGGGAGGGTCAGGAGGGGACTGGAGTCCTTCTCCTAAACGGCACTGAGCTGAGGGTATCTTCCTGGGACACAGACTGAGCCTACAGTCACCTTTTTAGTGCCTGAAGGGGGGCTTCTATCGTGAACCCACTAATTGCCGGACTTTGGAATTCATTATGCGTTTGCATGAGGCTTTGTGGGATCTTTCTAGGTGCGTGGTTGCCTGGATGGTTGCAGCTCCCTGAGCGATTAGTAAGAGCGTCCCATTCGGGAGCCCTACAAGCATAGGCTGGGAGTCCTACAAGCATAGGCTGGGAGCCCTACAAGCATAGGCTGGGAGCCCTACAAGCATAGGCTGGGAGCCCTACAAGCATAGGCTGGGAGCCCTACAAGCATAGGCTGGGAGTCCTACAAGCATAGGCTGGGAGACCATGAAGAAGGTGGCCTAGCAGGAATCTGTTCCCACTTGGAGCCAGAGCTGGGGCCAGGACCGACATTCTGACGACTCCCTGCCATATGGGCTGGAGGGGTCAGCCTGGCCCCAGTGTCACCCTCAAGTCA